GATTCACACAGCCTGGCACTCATCCAGCAAAGTGCTGGAGAAATCTGTTCTTTACCATGACTTAAGAACACCAGGTTGTGTTGAGTGAAGAGCAACAGTTTATTCAGGCCAAGCCTATCAACCTTACAGTTTAACTCTTCAACATTCTGTAGCTTATTTTAAAACACACAATAATATGATTTTAGAACTGACAAATTTCAGCGTGAACACTTATACCATACTAAAAATTCCCTCTTCAAGAGTTTTACACAAACTAGGAGAGTTATGCAGGCTTTTTGTCAAGTTGTAACTGTTACCACACAGCCTAGATACACATCCTAAAACATTACATGTAAAAAATATTAGTTTACAATTTAAATTATCTGTATCCTCTGGCATGTCTAATTATTGTTGTCAGTAGAACTAAATAGACAGAAATAGACTCAGAACAACTGCAGGATTACAATTTCTGACCCTATCAGCACAGCTGTTGAAGAAAAATCCTGCATTTTTTTTTACATTTTAAAAACTATTAATTTGTAATAAGTGAGCTATAATATAGTCTGAAAACAGTTATCAATTTCATTCTTATTCCATCAAAAAGGCTTCATTATATGAAACAAATAAATTTCTCCCTCAAAATTCAGTGAAACACAGTAATTACAGCATACTGATTATGTTATGATAAATACACCAGACAGTTCTATTCCCAATTTTGGTTAGGGTTTACTATGAGAACACAAAACACACAATTAATATTTGTGTCTTAACTCCTTAACTAGAATTTTTAAGATGTTTCTTAGCCTCAAAGTCTAACAATTCTGTTTACATTATCCCTGCTAAAACCTGTGAAGCACTCACTAATTTCAGAAGCTGTATTAGATGAAAAGAATAGCAATATAACCTTTAAAGCTTAATTGACATTGGACTAATTATCATCCTAAGGAATGGGCTTGAGAACACACAAGAAAGCAACCAGTTCTTGCATAAACTGGATAAAATTTACTGATATTAAAATATTTTCCTTAAACTTTCTGCCATGGTCCTACTAGCTGAGTACTACAGGAGACACTAGGCAGAAACTGTGCACCAGAAAGTAAAACCAGTGCAGACATTATTACTTCCGTCAACTGGAAACCATCTAATCTTACTCTCGCTGAGTACAGCCCTGTCTTCTTTCATTTCTATCACTTCAATTTCATAATCTTTTAACTTAATCCCTGTAATCCTTCTCCTTCCTCCCTCTGCTGAGTGTTTCTGGCTGAAGTTTCAAGCTACACAGAACTAAAAACCCACAGTTAAAAGTTACAACTATAAAGATATAAACTGAAATCAAATAATACAGTCTATTTCCAGAAAATCTCAGCAGTGAAGTAGGATTAAGTAGAATAAAGATTATCTTTTGTTGAGTACGTCACACACTAGAAAACTTACTCAATCTCATTTACTATTTTGGGCTCATACTGTTCTATTAGCATTGCTTTTAAGAGGTTTTTGTTGTTGTTTAGCTTTTTTAATTAAAAAAGACAAAACATGAAAAGCACCCTCTGAAACATTCTTTGAATTGTATGCATTTTATACATGAACAGTCTTAAAAATCCATAATTACTTCAGTGTACATAAACTTGCAGCAGAACAAAAAGCTTATCTGCACACCAGAATATACATGTCCCTTTAAAAAGAAAAACAGGAAATATGGAAAAAATATTGAAAATTCAGTCTTGAAATCAACAGTTACTTGATTTGCAAGTCATGTGGTCTCAAAGTAGGCTGAAGGCTAACATCAGCCTTTATTCTTCTACCAAAGTGCATTAAAAAGTCTTTATGTGCAATATGTTTCTGGAACTGTGAAGGGAAATTTTTTAAGGCTGAACTCTGAGCAGCTATTTTGAGCACACTTCTATATTTATACCTATAGAAAGTTCCAAATGTCAAAGAACGATAACGAGCGGCTGGCATATATAATAAAAGTGGAGCACAACCCAAAATATCTATTACAATTAACACAGTGCATGCTACACTTGTACAGAAACTACACATTGTCATTTTTCATTGACCAGCAAATCAACTGCTTCAACAGCTATGAAGTTTTGTTAGTTTTGTTTGCAGAAGTTTCAACTAGAAGCAGTTGAAGCTATACCAAGGTAAGTTACCCCATTACAATAAAAAAACAGTGTAAAATAGATTAAAAACAAAGAGTTCTCACAAAATTAAGGAAAAGGTAGTTGAATATCAGCAGCCAAAGAACTTGTTTAAATGAGGCTGCGATGATTAAGGATTGAAAAGAGCTACTTATGGAGTCTCAAATAAATTATCCAGGAAATAAAAAAAAAAAAAAGGAATTTGGGAATGCTAGACACATCCTTTTATATAAATAAAAGGAATTGGTATTTTTGCCTCCCTGAAGTTCCTAGAAAAAGGAAAACATGAGAGCCCATCCAAAGCAAACAAGCAAGAAGTTACACTGTTTTTAATTACTGAACATACAGCATGAAGAGTGTGACATATAAACATCTAGTAACAAAGATTGTAATGTCCTTTCCGAGATAAAAATGGAAAGCTAAAGATCTTCTTCACCTGCTATATACAGCCCAGTATAGCTATCCCACCCAATAAAGCTATCACTTGGAGGTATAAAACGAAAACTACATAATTGTATAAAACAAAATTTGGTCACAATCAAAAGATTAGCTTTGTGCAAGCCAAATACACAGCTCTAAAACACTATCACCTCCAAGAGACAGTATTTAAGTACTTTTGGGAGGGGAGGGTATGGAAGGGTGAAGGAAATAGTTATTGACGATTAATTTACTGAACATTTTGAACATTTAAGCCAGTAGACGATTACCACCAGCTGAAGATCCAACCCCTTCTCTCCCCAAAACACGAGCTAATCGCCAGAGCGTTACCAAACTCAACTTTTCTGGTGTAACTCACCGCTGGGGAGCACGCCTCCGTCCCCCGGAGCGCAGCAGCACCGCGGGCAGGCCGTTACGGTCCCACCCTGCGGGCCGGCCCCGGGCTGGTTGCGGGTTCCTGGAGCCCCCCCCGGCATCGTTCTCCCCCCCAGGAAAAAAAAAAAAAAAAAAAAAAAAAAAAAACAACGGGAGACGCTGAAAGAGAACGGGCCGGCAGCTGGATCGGTCGTGACGTCAGGAAGCAGCTTGCTGGCGTCAGCTTGGGTGTGACGTCCATCGCCTCAGCTCACCACCGTCCTCTCCTCTCCTGTCCTGACCCGTCCCTGTCCCCCCCCCAGCGGGGCTGCCCCCCTTCCAGCCCTCTCCGCCCGGCCAAGGCCGTCCTCTGCGCCCCGGCCCGCCCGGAGCCCGATGAGGCGGCTGCGGGGGCTTTTTTGGCTTCCCCACCACGCAGTCGCCGACCTCCTGTGGAAGCTGGCCGCGTCCCCGGCGTGCCTGAACCCGAAGAAACCGCGCAGCCCCGCCGGGCCCCCCCCTCAGCCCGGCCCGGCCCTCCCCGCCCGCCCGCCTCCATTTTCTCGCCGAGCCCCACAAGGCGCCGAGGCCTGAGGAGGCGCCCTCCCCCCCTCCCCCTTTTCTTTTTTCCCCCCCGCGGCTCCTCCGCTTCTTTTCTCCTCCCTGTCCCGGTGCTTTTTTTGCCGCTGGTTCCCCTCACTCACCGCGGGGAGGGGACTGGGGTCTCGCTGCCACCGGCGCCGCTGAGGGGCTCAGCCGCGCCGCGCCGCCATTTCCTCCTCGCAACCGCTCCGGAGAGGGCTGGGCGGGAGCCGCTCCTCCCCCTACTACCATAGACACCGACATGGCGGCCAACCGCCGCGCCTCGCTTTGCGCACGGCTCCCGGAGGACTCCGGGCTCTCGCCGGCTCCGCCTCACGGCGAGGAGCTGGGCGGGAAAAGCGCAGCCTCAGCGCCTGCTTCCCTACGTGTTTACTGCCCCCTCGTCTTTACACAGCCCCTGCCCCTCATTTTGTTCGTCCTCTCAGCTCCAGGATGCTCTGGGGTAGCCCCGTTCTCCTCAGCAGAAAAGTGTTGTGGGGAGAACATGGCTGCTGCTTGTCCTCATCAAAAACAGCCGGTGTCTTACCTCACAGGAAGGGCAGTTTTGTGCCCCATTAGTGAGGACCCCAGTGCCAGAGCAAAACCACACTAAATAGTCTTGCTTACAGTGACTTGCACTGCAAGGTCAGCTCTGTGACAGAATTTGTGTGGCAGAGGAGTTGGTGGCTTGTAGACTCAACTGCTACCATCTGCTGTGCTCTCCAGCTGTGCTTATTCCAATGTATTTTCTTTTTCCCCCCTTATGTTCCATCTGCTAAATAAAATTAAATAGCAGCTGATACAGTAATGCCTACTCCTGGGTCCAGAGTTCCACACAGATTCATTCCACATTAAGGTCCACACCTCAAGTGCCATGGAAGTGCTCTCTGCAGTACCTCATCCACCACACAGAGGCTTCCCAATGAGCACTCCTTTTAAAAGGACTACACTCCTCAAAAGCTCTCCAAGAGACAAACTACTACAAACACTTAAGAGAGCATTATCTCTACTTCATGTTTTTGTTCCTACTGCCAGCATCTGTGATATGAGCAACCAGAAATATCTGTAAGATTCCTGAGGGGTGCCAAGATTTAGAGGAGCACTCATGCAAAAGCTTGCAACATAGACATTACATGTGAAGAGCCTTTGAGATAAAATGGAGGTGTGAGGTTTGGCTCTTTGCTCACAGTCCTCCACATTTTTCCTCATGGGTTGGTAACCTTAGCTTCAGCTGTATTCCAGACAGGTGCAGCATTCACCAAGATGAATTAAGAAATGGAAATATGAGAAAACAGGAAAATAAATACTTAGCATTAATTCTACGAAATTAGTTTTCAATTGAATGATTCAATTACATTTTATAGAAGTCTACATTCTAGAGCACAATATGAGACTTCTGGGAGTAAAAGCTCAGAATGATGATGGAAAAGCTACTATTAGCTTTTTTTCCTGACAGTATAGTCAGCCTCTCCTGCACCTGTAAAACAGGGCAGTATTAATACTTACTTTACACAGGAGCACCAAGAGGTAAAAGAAACAAATTCCTGTACAGAAGCATAAGACACCATCATTAAAAGCAAGCAGTAGTTTAATTTTTGTTCAGCAATTGCAGAGTTACAATAAATGAAAGGCACAGAGAGAAATACCTTTTGATTTAGCAGATCAAGCTCCACCGTGACTTATGCCCTCAGAAAAGCTAATGGTATTATTAATGGTTAACTTTAGCATCCAGGAGTGCTCATAACAAGGACACACCAAGGGAAGGGGAACATGCAAAACAAGGAATTGCACACCAACAGTGAACAGGGGATGCCTGCAACAGGGAATTCAGCAGTGAAAAGAGTATTAAAATCTTCTTAAACACATTTGGTAAGAGGCCTGTACTATCTTAATGTAATCATTTTGCCTGCACAGTCAGTGAACGCTAAAATACATCACACTTTCAACCCACAAAAAAAAAAATATATCTTTGTATTACAGACTGCCTTTTAACTAAGACCATAGCAGAATATTTATATTTCCTGACTAAACACCTCTTTTGCTTCAGTGGTATCCTCAGCACCTCAACTCTCTGCCTCATTTCCTTCCCGTCCCCATTCTTTTCCTGTATTAAAGCCTATTTCCCCTTAATTTAGGGAATTTACTCCTGGGTTACTGATTTGAATCTGCATTGTCCTGGCAACACACAGAAACAGCTTTTTTGATGATCTGTGTAATTCAAGTTTTGTCTTAGTTTAGGCATCCCCCTACATAACATGATCATAGCTCCTAACTGGCTTGATCTGAAAACACCGCTGAGAAATCCTAGCAGAAAGATTAATGACAATCAATCAGCTTCTAAAATGGTCTAATAAGCACCTTATCTATCTCTCCTTCTTAAGCACAGGAAAAGCTTACACTAAGATGTCTATAAAACCCTCAGCACTACTCTCCTTAAAACTTTTTTCCACTGCTTTCCAAAATCTCTTCTACTATTAGGCACTCAGTGCTCTGAGACTTTGTTCTGCAGCTAATACACCTGTATTTGTTTATCCCTTGGGTTTCTCTAATTGCCATTTTACATTTAAATAAGAAAAAAACTTCTTGTGCAGTATTTATATATTCTCAAAAGAGTATTTAGGCACTACCATAAAACTATTCTGAACAGGCACTAAGGCAGCATCTTTATGTTGCACAAGTACCTCCCCACATCTGGGTTCATATGGGGGGGGGAAAAAAGCTCAGGGATGTGACTTTTGCTCTCTCTCCTGCCTTGCTCTTCACCAAGACAGCTCCCTTTTTCAGTGTTTAGAAGGTCTAAAAGATTATACTTACTTTATGCTCACCCGTTCTCAGTTCTTCCTCAGTGAGTGTTCTGGGAGTCAGTTTCTAGAGCCAGGTAAAACCTTGAGATGCAGTTAGCTCAAGAAAAGTCTAAGGATAAAAGTAAACAAGCAAGTTCTCATCTCTAACTCCATCTCTGCTTGTTAACAGATAATTTATTACTAAATCAGAAGAGACTGTTTTCATTGGCTGTGCTCCAGCTTTACCTTTTTATGTGTGTGCAAAAAGGCCTGTGTTCCCAGAGTCCAGCACATCAGCCAATATAGATACAACAGGTAGCAAAGTAGTTTATCCTCTGGGTGCTCGATTCTTCAAGGCTCCTGGGGCATCATTTTTCATAAAGACTAGATGAAGAGAAAAGCACTTTACCATGCATTAATCATATTCACAATGAAAGCAATCTCCTCCCTTACCAAGAGACAGAAACTTAAGAGTCTGTCTTCCCCCAGCTCTCTCAAATTCTGGAGAAACTTTCTCCCCCACTTTTTTTTTTTTTTTAAACAGGGATTTTAGTGATTTCTTCATGAATTAGTGACTTTAGAGTTAAGTGGAGTAAACTGTAAGTCAAATATCTGCCTCCAAAATACTTCTCTGAGAATAAGTTTATCAAATCATAAATCACATAAAAGTTCTATAAAACGCACTGAATTACTTTAGCAGATACACAAGTTCCTTTTATTCTCAATTTTGTAGTCTTTTCCCAAAGTCCAAAATTCTGTATTATTATTGGCATTATTACTATAGAATTCTTGTAGGACAGTGACATATGAAAGCCACGGGAATATTTCCAGAAAGCAAAATAGTTTGCTTCCATGCGTTGCAATCCAGTTTTGAAGGTACAAAAGCACTGATAAAGGTTTTCCCTAAGTAACAATTGTTTGATTCCACATTTGTGGAGAAGGTGATGTTTTTAACAGATGTTAGGCTTTAATACTTGGAAGAGGGGAAATGATATAGGAAACTTTTGCCCTGAATTGTTGCAGGGCAACAATTGTCTCCGTCTTCCTACTCCTTTCTGACTTTTGTAAGGCTTAAAAAAAAGCCACGCAAGCCATGCAGGATTTAGTATTTCCAAATCTCTGAATATTCTAGATTAAAGCACAGTGAACATAAATGCTTCTCTTCACTGAAGACAGCAGCAGGTATTATACACAAAATGATTAAACATTTATTCAGTGAAGTACAAGTTTAAAAGAAATTAAAACAGAAAGTAATCAGGCAGTTTTTTATCAGGAAAGAACTAACATAGAAGATGTTTTACCTAGGGCATGTTCAACCACCCCCAGACACAGTTTTCATCACACCTAAAACATTAGCAGGGAAAAATGGCCTGCATCAAGATTATTGAATAAGAGCTTTATAAATTATTGATAAACTTTGCATCTTACCACATCAGGCTAATGTTGCCTTGGAAAAAAAAAAAAGTCTCACTACAAATAGTAGCATTCAGTATTACTTAACTACACAAAAACAATTGATGCTAGAAAGGTACTTGGTTTTCAGGCTCAGTAAGAAAATGCTTCAATAATAACACTCAATGTTTCCTTGTTTCAGTGGTAAGTTTTCTCTCAAGCAAGTGTTCAATCTCTAATCAGATTTGATGTTACCATAAAAATCATAGGAAAGGATAGAGGAGGAGAAGAGAATACATCTAGTCGTGATATTCTGCAAATAGGTTACAAAGTTCTGCTGCAGTTAAATGAATAACCTGACATTAAAAAAAAAATAAAAAAAAAAAAATCAAGCATGCTGCCAAAAAACAGCTCACAATTTTTTTTAATGTACTTATTCAGTATGCTATTCTATTTTTTAGAAAGCAGTTAAAAGCTGTTCTTCATTCTTTACCTGTAAATAGCAGCTGTAGTAACAGTTACACTCTGTTTCCTCTCTGCTTGGGGTGTTTCCCTCTACAGCAAGTTCAGGAAACCCTTCTAAAGAGGGGCACCTTCCTCTTCTCTCTCCCTCTTAATGAGAATCTCCTGAGAAACTCCACCTTTTGGGGAGGAGCTGCCAAGACTCGGTGAATCTAAATAAGAGATCTTACAGGGTTCAGAAGTACAGGAAATAGAGTCTGAAGTTTTGTTGTTCCTTGTGAGTCAAATTGAGAGTATTTTTAAAGTGATGCCTGAGGAAAAGCCCTCTCCAATCAATAGCGGTATTTACTATGCTGTAGCTTTCTTTGTCACGTGGCTAACAACTATTGGCAAGAAGTACTTCATATTTGAGGTTTGCAAACTTTGTGTTATTTGTAAATGTTGGTTTGTTTAAAGAAATCAGTTATAATAAGCAACTATTGATTAAACTGTAGAGATTCTCAATTTCAATGTAGGGGCAATTGTAATGGATGTGAGTTTTGGAAGCTACGTTTTATAGCAGAGTTACAACAACAAGAGTGAAAGATGGGTAATTATAGCCATATTCCTACTCTGTAAAAGTGAAATTACATCTTCTCAAGAAGCTTCATTTGTAGTATTTAACACTCAAAAGTTGTACCTCTTAATTCCAGTTTTCTATTTAAATATTGGTTGGCTGAATATGAAGCAGCAATGTGTTCAGGTGGCCAAGAAGGCCAACAGCATCCTGGCTCATATAAGAAGCAGTGTGGCCAGCAGGACTAGGGAAGTGATTGTATTTGGCTCTGGTGAGGCTGTACCTCAGGTAGTGTTCAGTTTTGGGCCCCTCACTACAAGAAGGACATGGAGGTGCTTGAGAGAGTCCAGAGAAGGGCAACAAAGCTGGTGAGGGGCCTGGAGAACAAGTCCTATGAGGAGCGGCTGAGGGAGCTGGGCTTGTTCAGCCTGGAGAAGAGGAGGCTCAGGGGCGACCTTATCGCTCTCTACAGGTACCTTAAAGGAGGCTGTAGTGAGGTGGGGTTGGTTTATTCTTCCACGTGCCTGGTGACAGGATGAGGGGGAATGGGCTAAAGTTGCACCAGGGGAGGTTTAGGTTGGATATTAGGAAAAACTTCTTTACTGAAAGGGTTGTGAGGCATTGGAATGGGCTGCCCAGGGAAGTGGTGGAGTCACCATCCCTGGAGGTCTTTAAAAGACGTTTAGATGTAGAGCTTAGGGATATGGTTTAGTGGAGGACTGGTTAGTGTTAGGTCAGAAGTTGGACTAGGTGATCTTGCAGGTCTCTTCCCCCCCAGACGATTCTGTGAAATATATAACTTGTAGTGTTTTATTGTCTCTTTCCATGGAGTGCCTTGATTCCCAAATCCTGTTGGATCTAGCTGCAGGGAGTTTATTAATTCTCCCAAGCAGCCAAAATTATCTTTGACAGAGATTGTAAATCAGAGCCCTCAGCTACTACAGATCACAGCCCAGCATTGCATCGTAACTGGAAATTGGTGGAGCTTTACATTAACATACCAGGCTGTGACCTGTACAAGACCCATTTCCATTTGAATTATCCTGGAAAATTGCTAGGGCCACCTGGGCAGCAGTCAGGGCTCAAACAGCCAGCATGTGCCAGTCACAGCTCAAGAACAACTGTGCTGAAAACGAAGCTGGTGTGATGCCTGCTGTGTCTGCATAGCAGTTCCTTGCACAGCTCCAGAGCAGGGACACGATCAGTGACTTTTTAATGATTTGATGTTACCGCCTCTGCCAGAGGCTGTAGCTACAGCTATGGTGTCCCTGTCCCACGGGGGCTGCAATGTGACAGGAATTAGAGTGTCTGAGAGGAAAAGGAGTGACAAAGCAGCTGGTGAAGGAAGCATGGAGCCTGCTGAGGGCAGGCAGGGAGCAGACGAGGCCTGGCCCCGCCGCCTCCATCGCTCTCACAGCGGGCTCGCTTCGCCCCCCCAGAGACTCCCTCAGGCGGCCAGCGGCCATCTTGTGACCGCGCTCAGCCGCCCGCCTCTATGGTAACCCTGGCGGACTCCCCTTCCCTCTCTATGGTACCGAGCCGCCCCACCTCGGCTCATCTCTATGATCCTACCACCCCGCCGGGCGCCTCTCTGGTTGCGCTCTCCCGCACCTCTCGGGGCGCTGATTGGCGGAGAGGGGGGGAGCTCTCGCGAGAGCGCGAGTTCTCGCGAGAGAGCGCGGCGCGCGGCGCGGCCTGGCGGAGGCGGCGGCGGGGCCCGCGGTGGTGCCGGAGCGCGGCGCGCGGTAAGATGGCGGCGGCGGCGGCTCCACTCCTTACCCCGGGCCCCTCAGCTCGGCGGGAGGCCGCGGGTGGGCGAGGGGGAGGCGCCGGGCTTGGAGCTGGCGAGGCCGGGAGCTCCGCTGGGCAGGGCCCCGGGAGGGCCGGGCCGCGGGGGGCAGCGCCGGGGCGGGTGTGGGGTGAGGGAAGGGGGAGGCCGAGAGGCCCTGAGGGGGCTCTGAGGGGGCTCTGAGGAGACGGGGCTGTGGCTGTGGCTGTGGGGGGATCTCGGAGCCGCGTTCTCCCGCTGTGTGGTTGTAGAGAGAGGGCCCAGGGGTGCTGTGCCGCTCCGGGGGCCTTTGAGTGCCGCCTGGCGCTGTCCCGGGGGGCGCTGGGGCTGCGGGGGCGGTTTGGGAGCAGGGGAACGTGTGGGGAAGGAGCCGGGCTGGGAGCGCGCCCTGCCGCTCCTGGCTGCCCGGGAGCCATCGGGTGCCTGTTGCTGTTGTTGTCGCCGCCTTCTCCTCCCCCTTTCGCCGCCCCTGTCGTAGTGGTTGGGAGGTAGAAATAGTGAAACGCCGGCTCGCGATTTAGAAAAGCGCTTTGATTCCAAGTCTGGAAAACGTGTAGTCGAGAAAAATAGCTAGGAGATAATTTATTGGGATCGACGGGGTACTTTTGGGAATAGCCACGCTTAGTATAAGTTTTTTCTGTTGTACGTTGGATAAATTACTGTGTGCTGTTTTGTAGTCATGTAATATACATACCTAACTAGTTCAAGTTCTGTTGAAAACTTCAGAGTAAATGTATTTTACGTAAGTTTTGCTTTAGAGGTTTGTTAGAAATTTTCTGTATAAATCATGGTTTATTAGTGCTACATCATGGCGTTGTGTGTCCTGTATAAAACTTATATACAAGGTTTGTTTGGACTGGAATTAAGAGTAAGCACAAGAAAATGGTATTAAAATTTTGTGTTCTGGTGATGGATGAAAGCAGCCTTAGAAACTGACTCGTAGGTGTCAGTGTGCAGGAAAATGGAGGAGAAAAATGTAAAAGTGGTTTGAGATAAAAGGATGTCTTTTGGATTGTTAATTTAAAAGATCTCATAAGAAAGATATAAAGATAGTAGTAGCATAGTGTTTATATACATTAAACTTGCTTTTAATTGAATTGTGCTAAATGAAACGCTTTTTTTTTCTTTATAGTAAGAGTCCAGGATGAGTTATGCAGAAAAACCTGATGAAATCACGAAAGATGAATGGATGGAAAAGCTTAATAACTTGCATATTCAGAGAGCAGACATGAACCGCCTTATCATGAACTACCTTGTGACAGGTAACAATGAGCAGTAGTGCTGGGAGGCTCTTAAATGCATGCTGTTTATTTTATCAGGACAGATTATTTTTGGTTAGAATAAGTTACTACATAGAGTGAAGTTAAGGACTTTAAAGTTTCAGTGACTGCTGTTGGTTTCTCCTAGTAGCATACAGCTACTCACCTTAAGTGGACGCTGACTCAAATATACTAAATCAGAGACTTAGCAGATATCATGCAATAGAAATTACACTTGCTAACCTTAATTCTTGTGCTGAAAGATTTAAAAATATATATATTTCTTGGAATTATGTTAACAAAAATGACCCGCTTTTGTACAGTAACTTTTTTTTTGTGCAATTAAAACAGTTCAAGACGTTGCTGTTGTTAAAAAGCACTTTAAAATCTGCACAGAACAGCCGTCGGAAGCAAACTTTAACTGTCTAGAAAGACTTTGAAAGAGCACTGTTCTCAAAATAGTTGAGTCCAAAAATACTAAGTCCTTCAGCACATAGCCTTACTTCATTCTTTAAGCAATCAAAAACTCGTGGAAGTTGTCCCTAGCAATTATGATGCATGCCATCAGAGTAAGCGATACCAGGGTGGAGGCATTTATATCTGATCTACACCCCTGTTTACGTTGGTGCGTGGCTGGAGTTTCTGGGATGAGGGAAGAGCATCTTAGTGGCCCAGTAAAGTATGCTAAATCATTTCTGTGCATATGAAAGCATAACTTAAGGTTTAGAATAGATGTTACAACTTTTTCTCATACTAACACTGCATTTTTTAGAAAAGTAAAATTGATCTTATTTTCCTGTTTGTTCTTAGTAAAATTGTATAAACATGAATGGGATAGAGGGAGAAGCAAAATCACCCAAATTTTGAAAATGTGAGCCCATTTTGGAATAATTACACTGCTCTATTAAAGCTTTAAAGTTAAGAAGTATTGGAATACATCTGGCACACTTCCTTAGAGAATGAGGGCACTTGAGTTAATGAATTGGTGTGTACCGCTAGATGTGTGTTGGATTAGATACCTACATAAATAAAGATACAAAAAATAATTTTTCAGAAGTTCAGAATTCCTATTTAAATCACAAAAATACATGAGAAATACGGAAATCTTTCCCTTTAAGCTGATGGGTTTTTTTTGTTTTTTTAAGTTTGGTGAAACTGATTTTATACATAAAATGTTTCTATTTCAGAGGGCTTTAAGGAAGCAGCTGAGAAGTTTCGAATGGAGTCCGGAATTGAACCCAGTGTTGATTTAGAGACTCTTGATGAAAGAATAAAAATACGAGAAATGATATTGAAAGGACAGATTCAAGAAGCCATTGCATTAATAAACAGCCTCCATCCAGAATTGTTAGATACGAACAGATACCTTTACTTTCATTTGCAGGTAAGGACAGGTGGCAAACTTTAATTTTGTTTTAGAGGTTGCTGAAGGACTGGAAAAAGTAATTTGACTTTTAGGACTATGATAAGGGTTTGTGGCTGAATGTGGGTGCTGTTTCAACTGATTGTTCTTGGCATCATTTTGTAGCAGTGGGAAACTTTGTGGCGTGATGCAGTAACTATCATATGCAATTAATTAGTA